ACGGTGGCTGAGTGGTTAGCACTCTCGCTGTTTTTCTTTTCACTTCTTTAGAAATAATGGGTTTAGATAATGGATTAGAGGTCAGGACCAGGGAGGCCAATGCTTGAAACACTGACTTTACTGTGTTTACTGTCCTTAAAAACAGCCCGACTCTACCACAATAAAAATACACATACGGTATTAGCCTCATCGCTTTCCAGACAAAAGAAAAAGTAGAAGCTTATAGTTTATAGCTTATAGTGCGTAGATGAGAACATAAAGTAGAAAGACCAGTCTAAGCAGCAGGATAAGATAAGATAAAATGTCAATGTTGCAGCGCACAGACAGGACAGACACAGGGAGCACACAAAAATATACAAAATAAGTAGTAGCTGTGTCTGAGCTGTGACTGCTGAGACTGCTGAGACTGCTGAGACTGCTGAGACTGCTGTGACTGCTGAGACTGCTGAGACTGCTGTGACTGCTGAGACTGCTGAGACTGCTGTGACTGCTGAGACTGCTGAGACTGCTGAGACTGCTGTGACTGCTGAGACTGCTGAGACTGCTGAGACTGCTGAGACTGCTGAGACTGCTGAGACTGCTGTGACTGCTGAGACTGCTGTGACTGCTGTGACTGCTGAGACTGCTGAGACTGCTGAGACTGCTGTGACTGCTGAGACTGCTGAGACTGCTGAGACTGCTGAGACTGCTGTGACTGCTGAGACTGCTGAGACTGCTGAGACTGCTGTGACTGCTGAGACTGCTGTGACTGCTGTGACTGCTGTGACTGCTGAGACTGCTGAGACTGCTGTGACTGCTGTATCTGCTGAGACTGCTGTGACTGCTGTGACTGCTGAGACTGCTGAGACTGCTGTGACTGCTGTATCTGCTGAGACTGCTGAGACTGCTATGACTGCTATGACTGCTGTGACTGCTGTGACTGCTGTGACTGCTGTGACTGCTGTGACTGATGAGACTGATGAGACTGATGAGACTGATGAGACTGATGAGACTGCTATGACTGCTATGACTGCTGTGACTGCTGAGACTGCTATGACTGCTGTGACTGCTATGACTGCTGTGACTGCTGAGACTGCTGAGACTGCTGAGACTGCTGTGACTGCTATGACTGCTGTGACTGCTGTGACTGCTGAGACTGCTGAGACGGCTGTGACTGCTGTGACTGCTGAGACTGCTGAGACTGCTGTGACTGCTATGACTGCTGTGACTGCTGAGACTGCTGAGACTGCTGAGACTGCTGAGACTGCTGAGACTGCTGAGACTGCTGTGACTGCTGAGACTGCTGCTGTGACCCCAGTACCTGGCACTCGTCTGGGTTGAAGTCGAAGGCTTTCTTGGGCTGGTTGTACGGGATGCTCTTCAGCGCGGCTCCGTTGAACCAGGTTTTTCCGTGATCGTCGCTGAGAATACAGAACACTCCGTCTCCTTCCAGCGTCCCGTGACCGCACACCACCAGACGGCCCTTCGCAGGCTCCAACCTCTTCTGTTGAGGACAAAACAGCGATAAAACAAGGTTATAATTGTGTATTAGTGCGTGTTTGAGGGAAAAGCAAATGCATCAATCCCTGTTCTGTCTCAAAAGTGACTGAGATAGAATCAGGGGTCGATTGTTTGGAGTTTTCAGGGCTCCATAAACAAAACAGACCAAAGTACAACAGTGTAAACGTCGCATTAAAACCACAAACATTAACTTTGTAATAAAATAAAATGTTACTATAGTTTAAATGACTGATGCACCAAACCTTTTTCCCCGACTGTCTATTTAATCTGTTTTAACCCGTCACATCCATAGACTGCAGGACAAATATACCTTTTTTTCACAGTTAATTATTCTGAAATTCTTACATTTGGGACTCGTTTGTGTTCCGTGGCTTGTATGTGAAGGAGACTTTCTTATACAGTCACTTTAGTGCTAATACCTTAAATAATGAGTGTTCTGTTTTTGTGTGTAAACTAGATCTTGTTCTGTCAGTGCCTCAGTAACTATTTTACAAACACAGAATAATCATGAATACTTTGTTGCTCAAGTCAAGGCCAGGACCTCTCTGTGACCTGAGCCTCGGGATCAAAGGCAGATCCATTCTCTTTGATACAATAGGGAAAAAAACATCCAATTTGGTGGATTTAACAGGATCTCATCATTATCATTCTTTCCAACTGTGTTGCCTCAGGGCGGATATGTTGCTAAATCAACTCAAACGGTTAAAAAGATGTGAATGTCTGTGTTCAGCAAAATTATTCTGCGAGAAATTTGCTAATTGCTAATGAAGTCGCTCTTGGACAGAGATACAGAAACTAATTCATTCTTATCTTAGGATTTGATTTGTTTTTACGATTATTATTAAAGCTGGACTTACTCACTTTGAGTTTTAGAAGCAGTGTTTCATAAGGAGGCGCTGGCATCGCCCACTACCCCCCTCCCACTCAGCCTGTGCTCATGTCCTGTTGTTTATGGAGCTGGCGTCTCACAATATGGACACACATGTGAACGTGGCGTGTCCATAGAATGACAGTAACAGGAAGTGCGGAGGACGAGACTTTCTTTTGTCTGTTTCTCTGAGTAAGCAGTAACCAGTAACAAAGACACAGGAAGTTTCAGGTTAACCTCCGCCATGATGCTCTTTACCTCAGCTGTCTGCGCTAACCACAGACCTGTCTGCGCTAACCACAGACCTGTCTGCGCTAACCACAGACCTGTCTGCGCTAACCACAGACCTGTCTGCGCTAACCACAGACCTGTCTGCGCTAACCACAGACCTGTCTGCGCTAACCACAGACCTGTCTGCGCTAACCACAGACCTGTCTGCGCTAACCACAGACCTGTCTGTGCTAACCACAGACATGTCTGCGCTAACCACAGACCTGTCTGCGCTAACCACAGACCTGTCTGCACTAACCACAGACCTGTCTGCGCTAACCACAGATCTGTAGATTTTCTCAAGAAGGTGGGGGCCAGTGGTCCGCTGTGATTGGTCTCAATCTGGTCCCGACACATAAAACTCAATCTAAAATCCACTCCAGCACAAACCTATGCTACTTATTCTTCAAAAGGACGTATATCCCAATGCACTGCACGGATTTTACAAAAATAAAGTGAGGTAGCCCAGCTTTAAGGTGTATTATTGTTACTATAAAATATCCCCACTGTGGGATGAATAAAAGGTTCTCTTCTCTAATCTAATCTATTATTATTGTGGTCTAGACAACACACTGACTGTAGTTACCTGTATTCCAAACCCAGGTCCTGGTGCGAAGGCTTTGACTCCGAGCTGCTCCGAGAGGTTCTGAGGCCGGCTCCAGCTCAGTCCGTCGTCCAGGCTCTGCACCATCATCGTGCTGGAGGGTTTGCACTGATACTCGTGGAAACAAAAGGCGTAAACCAGAATGACAGAGCCGATCTCCTCGTCCACCACCACAGAGCCCAGGTTCAGGCCGTCCGGGATCTGACCGTCGTCCACAATGAAGGCGGTGGGAGACCAAGTGTAGCCTGAGCACAGGACACCAGGACAGGTCAGTGAGGACAGTCAAGGACACAAGACGTGGAGCAAATGTAAATGACAGGGAACTGAACTGGGTCAAGCTGCTGGTTTGGGATGTAGAAGTTATTCTCTGTATGTGCAGAGTCTGTGATGTAGGAAAACAAATCTGTTGGTAGAGCACTGGTCTTTGGACCAAATGTTCGTGGGTTTGAGCCCACCACGACCCATGTCATCTGCTCTCACTGCTGTCTACTGTTGTTGTGTCCTGCTGCAAGACAATTAACCCCACATTGCCTGAAGCCCCCGTTCCAAGGCAATCTTGTCGATGACAGAGAAGCCATCATTCTGTGCACCCACCACCTGCAGAAGGATCAGCGAGGGACTAGTGCTGTGAGACTTGGGTGGCAGCTCTGATTCCCCCCCGACCCAGAAATGGACTAATAAAGGGGGAAAAAATGACATGACATCTGGGAAAAACACTTAAGTTAAACTCACATCAGTTTTAAGTAGCAAAAATGAAGAGAAATCAGTCCTGGTCCCAGGTCTCTGCACCTGAGGCTCAGAGAACAGACTTCAAATCAGCTCTCTCCATTTCCTCACACCAAAGTACATTTGTTTATGAGCAGCACAGGGACTGGCCTCCTGCTGGGACTCTAAGGAGCACAGGGACTGGCCTCCTGCTGGGACTGAGGAGCACAGGGACTGGCCTCCTGCTGGGACTGAGGAGCACAGGGACTGGCCTCCTGCTGGGACTCAGAGGAGCACAGGGACTGGCCTCCTGCTGAGACTCTGAGGAGCACAGGGACTGGACTCCTGCTGGGACTCTGAGGAGCACAGGGACTGGCCTCCTGCTGGGACTGAGGAGCACAGGGACTGGCCTCCTGCTGGTCCCAAACTAAGGACTCAGATCATGGGGAGACAGCGGTTCAGAATTACGTAGCAAACGTCTGGAACAGTCTTCCTAAAACCCAGGGTAAATCTGTTTAACTGCTACAACTATCTCCTGCATCATTGTCGTTGTACCTTTGTCTGTGACTTCCTGTTACTTACAGGGCAATAACGATGATTCTGATCCTTGTCGTTGTACCTTTGTCTGTGGAGCGTCTCATGGCGAGGAACTTGGCGCCGGTGTCACTGGAAGATTTCTTTCGTCCTTCTGAAAACGCCAACAGACTTCCCTGAGGGGTGAAGGTGAGCAAAGGGATCCGGTATGTGTTGACCTGTCCCTGTGCTCCGCTCACCCACAACAGCTGCTCCTCCGTCACCAGAGGCTTGATCTGTGGACAGAGAGAGAACATGCAAAATGTAGGTTATACAGGGAAACATGTGGGTCATTAAAAGAGGAAGACAATCTTAGAAAACGTGAGCAATGGCACAGACTGACCAAACCTGTTCAGGACATTACCAGCAGTTTCCCAGCATTCAAAGAGATAGTGGCAGAATGACAACATATTTCAACACAACAGGATTATATCTACAGTGCCTTGTGAAAGTATTCGGCCCCTTGAACCTTTCAACATTTCGCCACATTTCAGGCTTCAAACAAAAAGATATAACATTTTAATTTTTTGTCAAGAATCAACAACAAGTGGGACACAATCGTGAAGTGGAACAAAATTTATTGGATAATTTAAACTTTTTGAACAAATAAAAAACTGAAAAGTGGGGCGTGCAATATTATTCGGCCCCTTTACTTTCAGTGCAGCAAACTCAGTCCAGAAGTTCAGTGAGGATCTTTGAATGATCCAATGTTGTCCTAAATGACTGATGATGATAAATAGAATGCACCTGTGTGTAATCAAGTCTCCGTATAAATGCACCTGCTCTTTGATAGTCTCAGGGTTCTGTTTAAAGCACAGAGAGAACCATGAAGACAAAGGAACACACCAGGCAGGTCCGAAATAGTAAGTTGTTTTTTTTTTATTTATATACCGCCTTTTCACTGCAGATCTGAGTCTCAAAGCGGTTTACAATTGTTAATTTTTTGGGCATTTGTCTCTAATTAATACGTTATTATTACGCAATTGCTTTTTTCGCTATTTTCACGTTCCCAGATGTCTATTGTATCTAATATGTATGGGGATGACTTGAGACCATATTTTATCGAGCCAGCAGGTGGCAGCATTGCTCTCTGAATGGTTTGAAAACATGTAGGTGCACATGTTGTGCCTCTTTTTTCTCAACTTTCTGGTGATTTCTGGTGATTTCAGTAAAACTTCCCTCTACTCGACGGAGGATTACAGGGGAACGAAAAAAGCTATAAACAAAATTATTTTTGCTGAGGAAAGTAGACAGTCCATTCTTTTAGAATCTGGTGTCGGATTTCAGATAGTCATAGTACACAATATTCTGTGGGTCTTAAAATCAGTAAAAATCATCAGAAATGGCTGGCACTATGGGAGTACCTGTTCTGAAATAGGCTGGCATTCAATGAGTTAACAGTCATTAACAGTCAATAAACAGTCAATAAACAGTCAGTACTGAGGCGTCACTGTGATGCATTTATAACTGAATAAATGTCATGTTTATTTCATATCAAAGTTGTTGTTTTCTGAACAAAGAAAAGAGAAACACAGTGTAATAATAATGTCAAGTTTTAGATCAGATAAAAACAAGATTGTTTTGATGTTACCACGTGATTCAGCACAAACCCACATCTAACTCTTCCACACAGAGCAGTAAACAACCATCAGACCCTTTCACACACAGCTCACATCACTGTTATTCAAGTCAAAAGTGCTGTACCTGTAAACTGTGGACAGAGATCCACGTCATGAGGAGACGCAGCGTCAGGAGCACGAGCCGCGCCATGTGAGCGCGTGAGCGGCGGACATCAACTGACACCGACAAGTCACAAAAACACAAAAAGGAACGAATAAGGACGAAAAGAGCAGAGAATGAAGCTGCAGCTCATAGATCCATGAGGGAGACGGTCTACAGAGCCAATCACGTGACCAGAGGCGAGGCCACGTGATTTAGAACCAACGCGGAAGTTCTGCGTCCTTTACTTTTTTTTGTTTTGTTGATTTTTTGTTCTTGTATATATTTATTTTCTTTATAGATGTGTAATTCATGAAGTGTGTAAAAACACGGCCCCGTAATAACCACACATAAAAATATGAATATTCAAATCAATTCTTATTTTTTTGGTTTTGTTTAGATTTGAGACTAGATACAAAACCACAAAAGGGAGAGATTATCTTTCCACTGGATTTAATTTTATGGATGCAGTATTTTGCTAAGGATTAGAACCAAATTTATTACGTATCATTTTGAAAAACTTTATAACATAGAGGAAAACTTTGGACAACTTTAAATTCTAAAAAATCTTTTCAAGAGTCCAATACTTTCACATTGACAAAAGGTAGCATAGGTTATTTACATTTGCTAAAGAATAACAGACCAGTAAACATTTGTAAGGTAACAAAACATGTTTAATAGTGTTCAATATTATTAAACACTATTAAAACTTATTGAACATAAAAAAGCTTTTGAAAATAAATGGCAAACAATACTAGTATTATAGTATCTCAAACAGTCTATAGTTTTCACACACGTGTCTTTGGTCTCTGTCTGTTTCAGACAAAAGTGAATAAGAAAGAAATCATCTGTTTTTTTCAACACTGACTGTAATTCAAAAACTTGACCACAAGAGAGCGCCACTGCATTTCTCCCACACTATGACTGATAAAAACACGTTATAGCCAGGATTAGGCTGAATGCTCAATGGCACAGAGGGTTAAGAGCACATTTACTGTTCAGACTGAACACTTTGAACCTTCAGGATGATGAAAGGTCACAAAGGTTTGTTTGGAGAAAGAAAACTCTTACTTTTTAGTCCCAGGAAAATACAGGGGATGGAGCACTCTCTCTTCTCAGCAGGAAGTGTGTGGATCCTGGTCCGTACAAGGCCTTTCTGAGGACCATGAATCCCCTGCTCTGGACCAGTGTAAAACCATGAATCCTCTCTGCTCTGCTCTGGACCAGTGTAAAACCATGAATCCTCTCTGCTCTGCTCTGGACCAGTGTAAAACCATGAATCCTCTCTGCTCTGGTCTGGACCAGTGTAAAACCATGAATCCTCTCTGCTCTGCTCTGGACCAGTGTAAAACCATGAATCCTCTCTGCTCTGGTCTGGACCAGTGTAAAACCATGAATCCTCTCTGCTCTGGTCTGGACCAGTGTAAAACCATGAATCCTCTCTGCTCTGCTCTGGACCAGTGTAAAACCATGAATCCTCTCTGTTCTGGTCTGGACCAGTGTAAAACCATGAATCCTCTCTGCTCTGGTCTGGACCAGTGTAAAACCATGAATCCTCTCTGCTCTGGTCTGGACCAGTGTAAAACCATGAATCCTCTCTGCTCTGGTCTGGACCAGTGTAAAACCATGAAACGACCAAATCAACTCGGACTAAACTTGTCTTTTTTGTGTTGATAAAGTCCTGTTGTGTTATTAGTATTAGATAGCAATATGGCCTACGTGCAGGACTGTACAAGGACTCTACAAGGACTCCATGTTATGACTATGATTTGACTGTCTCTTTGTGACACGTATGTCTTTCGATGTGTGACGTGACAATGACTATATAAACTGTGTACTGCCTTTATTCTGTCTGAGAGAAAGAAACAGAGTAAACCAGTGGAACTTGAGAGAAACTTAAATAAACTTCCAGAGTTTGGCACACCACGATCCGTCTCTGTCTGCGTAAATCCTAACAGATTTGGTGGAGAATGCGCGGCTCGGTTTGTGCCATTCTCTGGATTGTTTTGGGGGAGTTTGCTCTGTTTCTTTTCCTCTGCGTGAGAGATCGGCATGCTGTGTCTGGGAGCGGAGATTCCAGCAGGCTGGAAGAGCTGTTCCTGGATGCTTCTTGTCGCTTCTGTCACTTTTGTTTTTTAAATTGAATTTTTCGACGCGGAAAAGATGTTGGCAGACCTCTCGGACAGTCCGGACAAAGAATGAAGGTAAGCAGACACCTTTTTTAATATGTAAAGTCTGCATAATTGGATACTAGCTAAATTTTGAGCTGTCCCGGAGGTCTGTCCAAATCTCTCTAAATCAAATTTTCTTTGTTTTGTCTTTGTCACGTCTTTGTCATGTCTTATGTTGTAGAAAACAGGTTAGCTGTGTGGGTAACCAGTCCCTATAGGAAAAAAAGAACCCCTTGACGTATCGGGGTCCCTGTCCTTTGAAGTAGTCAGGGCAGAGAAAGAGTAATTACAGGGTAGAGGCCCTTTTTTGAGTAATTACCGGGGTAGAGGCCCCTTGAGAAGAGAAAAAGAGTAATTACAGGGTAGAGGCCCTTTTTTGAGTAATTACCGGGGTAGAGGCCCCTTGCTAGCCAGAGAAAAGTGTTGGATCCAAAAGTGAAACCATGGTGTAAAATTAAAAGTAATTATAAAAAGGGAAACGTTAAACACTAAAGAGTGCCTTTTGTTACTAGTGTGGAAAGTGATCAATTCTAGACTTGGATGACAAAAGTATAAACTACAACATCAGTTATATTTGCTTAAAAAATTAATCTTAAGTTTTTTTTTTTTTTTTTTTTTTTTTTTTAAATTTTTTATTTGTATATACATTACATGACAAAAACAGAAACAAAGATATTAACAATATATACAGAAATTGATGACATTCATGATAAAGAGAAAGGAAGTGAGGTATTATTATATAAAATTAAATGACTTTATAGAGAGGTTAGATTGAAAGAAAGGGCGCTAAAGGGAGACGATCATCTAGAGTTGATGTGTTATGGGTTCTAATAATTTGACTGTGGAGTTGGTTTTTTTGCTGTTTATTAGGGTTATAGACTTAATGTAGCTCTTGATTTCGAGAGTGACTGCTTGGGAGGATGGATTGGTTTTACTGTATTTGCATCTATGTATGTGCTGTTTGCCAAATAAAATGAATATGTTGGTGATTCTTTCGATTTTATTGTTTTGGTGAGAAAAGTGGGTGATAATGTTTCTGTGTCACAGATAGTTAATGGAGATATTTAGTCTTTGGGAGAGGTATTGACTGATCTCTTTCCAGAAAAGCGTGATGAGTGGGCATGAGTAGAATAAGTGTTGAATAAATTCTGGAACTGTATTGCAAAAGGAGCAATTTGGATCTATGTTCATGAATTTTGAGACTTCGGAGTTTGTGGGGTAGATATTGTGTAGAATTTTGAGATGAGTTTCACGTATTTTATTATTAATGGGGAATTGGTAGGGTAACAGCCATGTTTTATGCCAGTTTATATTATCAAAGGTGGAGTTCCAAAAAAATTTCCCTCTGGGTTGAATGCTTTTCATATTTTGAAATATTTGTCGAATATGTTTATTGTTGCATTTGTGATTAGTGATGTCCAGTCCATTGAGAAAAAGCTTTGTGGTCATTATGGTTGGAGTGAGTTGTGAAGCTCTCATTAAGTGTAATAGCCCATCGGGAATGCATTTTGTAACAGCTTTGTACTGTTTGTACCTGATGGGAAACTGGAACTTAGAAAGAAAGTTATCATAACTTAAAATATTGCCATGAATATCGATTAAATTGGAAACTGTAATTATACCTTTGTCGATCCATGATGATTCAAAGATTGATTTCTTGCGCTTTAATATGTATTCATTATTCCAGATAATGCAGGTGTGTGGGGAGAAGTTGTGGATGTGACAGAGCTTCCACGCTGTAAGGGCTTGTTGATGAAAATTAGAGAGTTTTATTGGAAGTTTGTTGATATTGTAATTGCATTTTAAGATAAAATGAAGACCGCCTATTTTATTAAATACTAGGTTGGGGATGAGGTACCATATTGAGTTCAGGTTTTTTAATGCCTCTTGAATCCATCCAATCTTGAAAGTTCTTCTTCTGTGTCTTTCTGCCTGTGTGTGCGTGTCTGTGTGAAAGGAACCCCCCCGCCCTCGCTGCTGCTGAGCTGCTGCTCTGATTTAAAGGGGAGCTACTGCTTTAGGAATTTGGCTTTTCATAGTTGTTATTCCGTTAAATTTGCGAAATTTGCCATTTGAACATTGTGTTAGACACAGTTAAACGTTTTTAAACACCATTAGTGAATAAGTTTTGAATATTAGTATGTTTTTGAAACCCAAAGATTAGTGCTAAAGCTGTGCAATTCTTTTTAGATCTAACATATTTCTAGATTCCATTCTTTTTAAATCTGCTGCTTATTTCTTAACTTTTTGTGAGTTGTGTTTGTTTTTATGTTTTTATTTTAGTTACAAAAGCCGTTTTTCAAAACATTTAAATTAGAATCCGTGTTAAAAGTGATTAGAATGATTGATTTATAGAGTTTGTGTAAAAAAGAAAAGAGGGATTAGGAATAGAACAGGATAGCTGTAAAAGTATTATTATTAAGTTAAACTGTGACCCAATTCACAGTCTAAAAGATGCGAGTTTTGTGAGTTTTGTTTTGTCTATAGCTCTGGCCTTGCCGCTGCTGCTCACTGCAGAGCGAGCAGAGTTTGATTACGTCCGTTAATTCAAAATGTTTTTAAAAGTTTATTGAGTGCATTTGAAGAATGCAGCAATTATTTTAAATTGGTAGAATAGATGCTGAGATAAATAAGTGTAAAAGGGAAAGTCCATAAAGTGAAACCCAAGGACGCATAGATAATTAATCACACAGTACAAAAGTATATAATACATAGTTTAAAGTTTAAAAAGGTTTTTTAGATTTGAGTCTTGTTTTTTATATTGAGAGTTTCTGGTTTTAAAAATGTCATCATTAGTAAGAGAATAAGTAATCTTTTATTTACATAGCGCTTGGGAAAACCCAGAGCGCTTCAAAATTGTTTAGACTTCAGAGAGAAAAA